CTCTTATTCTGTTGATTGTTGATTCCTACTCTGACTGACATTACTCTGCATGAATTTATCTGCACAGGTTGTTAGCGCATGTCATGATTCTGTGGTTTGTGTTTGGAGCCTGGAGACAGGCGAAAAAATCATTCAGTTTTCCAATGCTCACGGTAGCTCTGAAATAACAGCCATGAGGTTTGATCCTTCCAAGAGAAGACTTATAACTGGAGGTAGAGATGGAACTGTACGGATATGGAATTTTAATAATGGCTGCTGTTTAAGCGAATTACAAGCTGTTGACAATGAAGAGGTAAAACAAACTTCCTGGTGTTTACTGTTTCGCCAATGTTCTGTTTGCTTTATTCAGTTTACCACACTTCTCTGCACAAAAGTATAGGTGCGCAAAAATGGCAACCAACACAAACATAACCAGAGGTACATGAATACCTACACATTGTATGTTCACAGTTCAGTAACCTCTTTATGAACAAGCGAAAATTCCTCGTAGTATCCAATAGCAAACTTTTATTTATTTACAAAGTTTTGGCCGGTTTCTCAGATAACAGGTATCCTGTGTTTTAAACAGAAGATTATAACAGTGGGATGGAATAGAAACGTTACCATTTACAAGTAAGTACAAAAACATAGGACAGCCGCACGTTCATGATTACATTTCTGCCAGTTTCCAGATCATTGTTACAGATTGAAAATATATAGTACATTTGAATCTATATTACGAAATGTTATATATCTTTTTAGCTTCATGGAAGATTATTGTCGTCACGGCAGATGTATTTGGAGATCTGAGTTCAAATATGCAGGGAAAAAGAAAATTTTCGTGTTGTTGTGTTAACTTAATTCTTTTGTCCAGGGATTGCCGCGACGAGGAGGAAGGAGATCCTCGCGTGTGGCCACATTTCCATGAAGACGACATTCTATCCGCTGCAATGTACCCGACTGGTTTAGTGGCCACCTCTTCATATGATGGCCTTGTGAAAGTCTGGAACATTGAAAGTGGAAGTGTTAACTGTAGACTGCACGCTGGTGACTATGGCTTGGAAAGAACACAATCTGTTATTCCCGCAGAAGTTAAAAGACTCGTTACTCATTGTAATTCAGGTCAGTGAACGGTAAATGCGCAAACGGAATAGAGTGTAACATTTTGAGTCAAATGAAATGCTGAATCACATAATCATGGTGAAACCCATAGATGCACGACTTGATTAAGTCTTGTTTTAATATTTTAAGTGATCGAAACAGAGAAGAGAATTCAGGAAGAAATGTCCAGAAAGAGAGGTATACATTCCGACTCAAGTAAGAAGAATCGCCGTATTGCATCATCAGTCGGGCGGCTCAAAAACTGCCCCATGCAAAAAGAAAGACTTGAAAGTTCACAAAAAAGGAAAAGCCACCTTCAAGATTTACCACCATTGAAATCTCAAGAAAGTTATCATGATTCATCGGTAGATAAGGTAAAGTAACAATTATTTTAAAAAATTGATTCAGCACTTGAGTCTATGAACAATTAAGGAATGAACGCTAATTGATTAAGAAAGAATGCAGTAATCATTACTTTACTAATTCTCTCCTTACTTAGGTTATTTTTCTAGAAAAACGTGAAAACAGCATCGCCACGGCTACCTTATTAACATCGGGGTCAGACGGTTCCGTAAGGGCCTGGAGTGTCTGTGGTGGAGGATTACTGGGTTACTTTACTGCTGCACAGGGTGATCATAATTCTGTGCTCTCCATGACAACTAATGGTGACAATAGTTTACTCATTACCGGTGACACCGCTGGCTTTATAAAGGTAACAAACCCCTCTTAGCCTCAACTAAACCGATATGCAACTGAAATGACACGTAGCCCGAGAATCTATGGGTTTTCAACCACTAGTTTAGGCCATTAGGGAAAAAAGCTGGACAAAATATGTTTGCAGTTGGTCTTGCACTGTATACTTGACTAAGTGATTTTTAATTTTGACGAAAGGAATTCCTTGCTCTTTCACGTTTCTTACTTAATTGTTTCTTCAAAGAACAACTAATGCAAAAATCTTGGGTACAAATCCAAAAGATCTGAGGTGATTTACAAAGTTTTTTAAACATCAGCTTTTAATTCTTAGCAACCTCCCGTTCACAAGTACAACTGTAATTTCACTTCATTACACAACATTCCCAGGTTAATGATTGATATAGGACTATTGTTAGTTTTTGAGACAAAATTATTAGGCAAAACGAGAATATTGAAAAATGAAATTACGAATGTACACGGGAACAGAGTTTGACAGTTTAAGCAGCTACGACTGTGAACGGGCATACAGTTATAACGGTATACACCGCTCCCTGTTTAGAGACAAATCCAGTTACTTGTATCAATACATTTAGGGGTTGTCTTTACTTCACAGCTTTGGAATATATCGTGGTACTGTATAAGTAGCGGTGATCAGAAGCCAGCGGCACCGCTGCCCAGGAAACTTTCTTTAGGGAACAGAAGGAACAGTCAAAAGCCTGGCAAAGCAGGAGGAATCGATACAAAGCCACCTCCACTGGTTACTTCATTCAGAGCTCATCTCGAGCCAATTGTTAGCTTAGACTTTGTAGACAACCGTCAGCTTATCATTAGTGCTTCCAAAGATGCTTCTGTCAGGTTATGGACACAAACTGGAAGATACATAGGTAATAGAATTAATAGATGAATAAAATTACCATGGTTAAAAGAAACCTTTTCGCTGATTTCTCTGAGACTTGAACGATTCATCAAAAACCAGAGGAGTAACAATTGTTTCTTACAAATAGATGTCTGTTGTCTTGTAACGAGAGGAAAAACATATTTTTCTTCACAACTGTGCGCAAAATTTACCAACTTTTTTATTCTATTTACACACATGACGCTTTGATATGAATGTTACATGATTTACATATACATGTACTGCATTATTCAGGATTGTTTGGTCAGCGAGTACTATGGGATTTAGAGAAAGCAATCAAAGGATTACGACGACTTCCGCCGGATATTCAACGGATCGCTTCAGCCGAGACCCTCAGAAGAATGTTGAGTTCTCCTGGGCCAAGATGGAGGTGAGGTGTTTTTGGAATTTTGATGGAGAGCTTTGAAAAAGATCCTTTAATATCAAGAACTAGTATTATATTAGAAATCGATGAACAAAGTCAGTCTTCCCTCAGTGATAGGAAATCAACTCACGTACTAGTCCTCTTCCAATGATCCGCTTCAACAAAATAAGACACCTAACGTTCCACTTGATGCCCGTTCCATCTGCAAAAGGTTTATTTCACTAAAACGTATCGTTGTCGGGCAAAACGAAAATATTCAACGATGTCACCATCAACAACGACATCTCTGCAGTTGCACACGGAGTCCTTAATGATATAACTCTGGGACTGATTCCGGATTATTATTGTACAGTTACTAAGTTAACAATAGTTTGACGGCCCTTTGACTGCCGAGGCTAGACCTGTTTTTCCGCAGATAAACCGCAACATCTCCCTAAGCGGCATACCATCTCATGTTCCAGATGGTATTTCTGATGTTACTGTGATAAATTCGCATTAGACAGTAGGTTACGACGCATCCCTTTAATTGCGAGTTCCTTTATCGACTCCTACATACATGGAGCTCCCCAATCTGCCTCACCGCACTTAACTCAGTATCATCAAATAGAGAGCTTAAGCTTGCAGTCTTCAATCACTGATATTTGTTCTTTTCCCTTTTCGTGGCAGACTAGCAAAGCATGTAATGCATATTACGACCTTCTCTCGACGCGAAACACAGTCCATCCTGCAGGATTCCTCAGACACCAAAGATTGGGAGAACGAATGGGGGCCTTCCATTAGCCTGTCACTAAAGAACATATTAGGAAAATTTTACAAGCCGAAGATTAGGCACAAACCCCTTCCACCACTACCAAAACTCAAATTCAACCAAGATCAGATGATTGTCTATTCCTGTTTAAATTTCAAAGATCTCCAAGCTGTTGAGGAACCAAAGACACCAGCCGTACTATGCAGTCACAACACCAGACAAAATTCTTCTTCAGGCCTTCTTCCCCGAATAATTAAGAATAGAGGTCATCGGGAAAACTCTGATTCTAAACATATAACGTATTTTAGTGCGTCTGTTAAACAACCACGGGCAAGTACCTCACGAAAACCACTCGAAATTTTAAGAGCATCCATTAAAAAGTAGAATACACACTTGAAACTGGTATCGCCTTAAGTTAGAATGAATTAAAGTGGCTGCGACTGTCTCAGATGTGCCACTTTATGTCAGAGGCTACTGATTGAAATCAGCTGAGATTAGGACAACAAATATGCCATCTACAACTCGGTGATCTCCAACAATATTCAAAGCCCTCCTACCGTCCTACCCCAAGCTTTTTCCCTTTCACTGCTTATTATAACATGGTAATGAAAAAAAATGTTAGTCTCGTTCTCATCCAATTTTTTCCTTAGTGTGGGCAGAAGTACACTACAAATTATTGCGCCCAAACTTTTTGCTTATTTTGAATGTCCTATGCAACATCATCAGACCGTGGTCCACAAGAACTGAGTCGGGAGGGAGATAGTGAAAGGCACGAATTACGAGTTTAATTTTTCACCTTTAAAAGAGCCCACATAGTTTTGTTTTCGTATGCAGAGCAACCGCTAACTCCATAAGTCTCATGCTGCTGAGGCTGAATTGCCTCTACTCTATTGCTGAGTAGAGAAAAGAAGTGGATAAAAACAATAGCATCACATTTTCTAATAGCTGTTTAACAAAACCAAAGAAGAGTGGTTCGTTTCCCTTTGGCCAGTGACAATGAACAGTAAGGTATGTCACAGCTCAGTCCAAGGGCGGGAAATTGATACAAACTCTGTGTTCTGTATGTTTCCCGAGCGAGGTACATTAAGCCGGTTTGCTTCGTACCTCCCAAAAGCATTTTTAACGGGAAAACTTTTTGTCGAATGGAGTTGTAACGTAAAGCAAAAGCACGTCTTGGAGAAAATCAAAAAAGATAAAACTAAGACGACCATGTGCATTTATTCCGCAATGAAACGAAATCCATGTTTGCGTTAACCTTTAGGCAAATTATAAATAATTTTTGAACCGAACAAGCGTGGTCAATACCGTACAGTTACTTAAGACGTGACAGATACATATGCATGACATTCTTCACCCACCTCCCACTCAAAACCGTGCTGTCCCTACACTTGATTTCTACAAACTACTAGCTTTGTTATTTTAAAAGAGCTAATGTCATTTAAAACGTGACTGATACATGTGTATGACATTCTTCACCCACCTCCCACCCAAAACCACGCTGTCCTTACACTTGAATTCTACAAACTACTAGCTACGTTCTTTTGAAAGAGGTAATGTGAGACAATCCACTCGTTTCCACCCCTAAAGGCAAACACCTCGGCGCAGTAAATGAAGAACATGCGCCAGTTGAAAACGTGCTCATCTACTTGATCGCCGCCATATGTGGTACGGAATATCTCCCTCACTGTGGCTTGTTGTTTATCCATCTTGACCAGCCAGGCTTCTAAAGTGCGAGCGTAATGATTTCCATTGATCTGCCAGTGATGCTTGATACCCAAATCCTTCTGAAAGTACAACAGTAAGTCAGAGGAGGGCATTGTGCCCCCACTGAAAAAATTCCGTGCCATCCATTCCGTGTCTGAATTCTTCTTGGTGTCAAAGTTGTAAGCGAACTCGCGGTGGCATAAAATCTGGACGAACAGCAAACCTCCTGGCTTCAACCAGCTGGCCACTCGACTCATTAACTCTTCATAGTTCTTCATGTGCTGTAAGAAAGGATCCAATGTCAAGCCTTTTGTTAATCGAAAATTAACCCATAATTCAAACTCTTTCAGTAGCAATTGAAAAGGGCACTCTAGGAATGTCTTCTACAATTCCTAAGAGACTTCGCACTATATTTTCCAGACGGTAATGAATTCTATGTTTTGAGCTAGAAATGATGAGGTACAGCTATGAACATCATTGATCACAACACATGATGCTACTTGGATGTTATATTGATAAACATTTTGCACAAGTACGCTTCCACGGGCTGAAACCTGAGCCTATCAAATTCCGTTTTAGCACCACTATACTGATGTTGTGAGTACTGTGTTGTGTGTTGTAATGACCCTCTCTGACTTTCTCAGAAAGCTATGGCACACATCTGAGCTATATCGAGAAATTGTATATGGCATCTAAGAAGTGAGGAGTCCAAGTGTTTACAGACCTATCAACTTCTGCATGGGGAAGTTATCTTTGTGTCTGATATAACAGAGTGGTAAGAGTGTGATCAGACTGACAATATAGTTTTATTGATTCCCCTCGCAACGGAGCAAGAAACTGTGCAGCTGGGCATAATTTTTTCCCTGCCTCTTTTGGGATGAGACATCGCAGAAATTCACGCACGAGAATAGGTTTTATGTAATGCTGTTGTTTACTAAATACCTCTTACTAACCGTGCGAGGGCTGCACTGTAAGTTACCAACCGAGTTTTTTCGGCTTGCATTTTCCAGAAAGGAATGTAAAATGACTTGAAATGTCTATTAAGTTATTTCTTAAAAAATGTAAGAAAGTTGAATCACCTTCTACTTCATCACAGTATCTCAACCTACCTTAATTTTAATGTTACCTTGTTAGGAATAGAGCCGAAACTGAAATATTGAAAAAATGCTCCATGATTGAAATACAGTGCTGGATAAGGTGAAACAGGTAACAGTTCTCACCTCAAACATTTCAATGGAGATGATTTGGTCAAATCTTGAGGAAGTGTTGAACACATTGGCATCTGATGTGATACAATTAATTCTAGAACTGAAACCTTTCCTTTGAGCCTCAGATTCAATCCACTCACGCTGAGTCTTGGAGTTAGATACAGTTGTCACTGTACAGTTAGGATAATGTTCACACAACCATAGAGCCAAGCTTCCCCATCCACAGCCCAAGTCCTGTGTAACAACAAACAATTCTCATTTCACAATTCTGTCTGTAATATGCATTACTATCACCTCACACACATACATGTTGCCTGGCTTTCTGCAGAGCCCTAGCTCCTAATTGAGACTTGCTGGAAGCACAGTTTATCAGTGCATACATAGTTAAGGGTCTCCAATGTAAGTAGGTGGTATAACAGCATGTTTTGATTGAGTACTGTAAAATTGAAAAACACAGTGATCACAATGGCCAGCCTAAAAAAAGGAATTTATCACAGGGAGCCCATGAGATGCAAATTCAAAACAAGTGAATGACTTAAAGCACAGGAAAATTAATTTTAAAGTAACCAAGCTGCCATTGGTTTTTTAGCAAGTGGTGTGAGTTTTCTGAACTGATCAATTTAAAATGCTAGAGACCATAAACATTGAAATAAGCCCCCCCC